GTGTACTCCTCGTTTGTCAAACGGACTTTTATTATCACGATCTCGCTCTCTAAAAAAATGTAACTTTCATATACATTAACGGCATTAAGTATCAAGATGGACGCATCAGCCTGAATGCAGGCTGCAGGCGTGTAAAAGGACAACAAAAGTCCACGGCGCGTTGCGATTAACTGAAACAACCGGCTCGACAATGGAGTAATCAGCGAGCTTTTCGACGCCAGCGTCGCCTCCTCTCGACTACCCCCAGCCGTCTCGCCCCCCTCCCCCCCGCAGCCTCTGTTAACCCCTTCCTCGCGGGACGCGTTTGTTGTCGCTTCAGCAATCACTACGATCATGTTCTGCTCTGTACTCACACGCATTGTTTTTGCTATTACGTGCCGATTTTTACGCTTCGTAATCGAATGAAATTTATGCCATTCAACGACATTTTTGTGCGTGTGAAAAGAAGTCGAATCTTGGGCCCAATTTTTCTGTGTAAACTACCGTGAATTTATCTCTGCAGATTTATAATAGTATTCAATACAGCATCCACACACACACATCTGCTCCAGCTACTCAATTTCCGTATTTTTTCTGATTATATAAATGTGGAAAATCGAAAATGTTACGATAAAACAACTAAACATTCTCGTTTGTAAAATATATGTTTAGTATTGTAAATTCGTATTACCCCTCCGTCGTTTCAATGTATCGCAAGATACATTCTCGATACGATGCAGCGTACGCTTGAAGAAAATATATGCGTAAATAATGAGATTTTGCATACGCCGCGCCTATTAGACGGATGTTGCCAATTAAAGAGGCAGGGAGATCTTAAGGAGCCGACGATGGATCGTCGAGAAGCCGAATTGTTTCATTGATGAGCGAGCATTCAGGTCGAGGCAGGCGGGAAACAAGAAGTGGAGGGAGAAGCGGGTACATTAGATGTTACGGCGTTTACGCTCGCAACCCTCCTTCGGACCGTGCCAGTCGATGAATGGTATAATCAGCGGTCGCGTGGCACCCCCGTGCTCGAGGAGGCCATGGGGGAGAGTAAGACGAGAAATGAAAACCCCCGCCCAGCCCACTCACCAGCCCCCTGTTCGACCGTGATGTTGGAATCGCGAAAAATCACTTTAGCCCGCCCCGTGTTTTGCGCTACGAAAGTATTCCCGCTTTTCACTTGTTCTCCACGCAAAATTTAATCCTTGGCGCAAAACAACCCTCTCTAAGGAGGGAACTTTTATAGCGGAATAATATAAATAATTACACGGCCATATAGAAATGAAAGGACAGAATCTGCGAAGAGAATACGATTGAGCGAAGCTTGAAATCGAATTGATGATAAGCTAATAAATAGTTTCACGGTTTAATCGGTCGTATTTCTTGATAGTCCATCGATTGTACTAGGTCGGACGAAGGAAGCTTCTTTCACCTCGTTCCAGAGAAATCCTGAGGAGGTTGGAAAGCTCGTTGGGCGATCAGAAAAGATCCCATAATTATTTTGTACGGTGTATGAATGAGGGGGTGCCGTGTCGATTTAGCGTTGAATTGCCCGAAAAAAAGACACCGTCACACCCCCTCGCGCTGTCGGCTCTTGTCGGCGATGTGCGATAAAAGGCGCGTTCACGCCCCGTGAATGACAGAATGTATGACGAAGAGACGGGGGTCGATAAAGGGGCCCCCGGTACGACAGTCGATCGCTGTATCTCGCTCATTGACGGACACCGTTGGAGAGTGAATTTATTGTGCGGTTAATAATGGGGCCCGCGTGACAGCCGATCGCGCCCGTTTATCTCTACTCCGGAGTAGATGATACTTCATTATACTGCCCCGAGGAGTACGGTGTTTGTTCCTTGTCACGCCGGATTAACTACAAATTGAGGCGTGTAATTTAAAAGGGATCCGACGTGCGAGCCTCTCGCTGGAAATTTCGATCTCGCCAACACCCCGGAAAAGAAATTATTTTTCCAGATGTCTCAGCTCCTGTTTTGCCAATATTTATTTTCTCTTGGATACATCATTTGTTTTATCCGAGGGCTAATCCGCTAACCGAAATCATGTACACCAGTGCTCACTAGTGCGTTAAAATTTGACAGTAATGCCCATTGCAAATGACTTAATTTTACTATCTTATTTTTATCCTGTTTTATCTTATTTTATCTTCTTAGAGTCTATATAATGCCCCAGCAAAACTCAATAACACCCATGCACTAACGCCCAAACAAATAGACGAGGTCTGTTTGCGTTGCATGCCCCGACATCCATCTTGCCCCAACGACCAATACCATCATTTTATTTACGATTACAGTGACGGTATTGGGGCAAACAGGAGCACATAGGGTATGCGACGCGAACAGACCTGCGGTCTACTAATACCTGAAATCTGTATACCACAATGCTCTCAGCGGTTTACCCGGTTGATTTTATTTTAAATGTGAAATCCTTGTTTAAGATAACACATTTTTTATCTTCTTAAACAGAGATATTTTTTGGCCTTTTAAAGGGCACCTACACGGAGAGAACTATCTTTTACCCGGAAAATTATCTAATCGTGGGACAACATGGCATTTTGAAGTACTTGATGAGAGTTTGAAATTTTACCATACATTTTGCTAGTAAAATAGTAAAAGTATGGTAAAATTTCAAAACATTCTCATAAAGTCCTTCAAAATGCCATGTTGTCCCACGATTACATAATTTTCCGGGTAAATTTTAAGAGGGAATTCTCGCCGTGTAGAAGCACATCCTTTAGAACTTTTAATTTCAATGGAAAAACTTTTACTTCTGCACTAAAATAATTTCTCGAAAATTTATAAAATTTGCGTCTTTAAGTGTGTTTCTTGTCTTTCAGAAAGTTACATAATACAATTGCGTTTATTTCTTTTGCGCATATTACACGGTATATTTTGCAAACGTGAAAATATATTTCGCGCATCTTAAAAATGCGATTCATTCCTTTCATTCTTTCGCCGAGCGTACCAGCTCGATCTCCTTCCGCGGCGTGACACAGATTCGCGTTTGCGGCAGATGAATATTCCTGCGCCTTCCGGAAATTCAATGGCGACGGCGCAGTCCCCTTTTTATGGCGACCGGGAGATGTTGTCGCCCGCACACCAGCCCCCTTGTCTCGTTTTATACCTTCTCTCTTTATCGCCTTATCACTCGAGACGTCTTCCAGTCTCCCTCTCCCCAGCTCCCTCCTCGTTGCACACCTCTCTCTCTCTTTCTCGCCCTGTGACAAGACACTGCCGCGCGACTGATAACATTTATTATAAGACCCGGCCTTCCATACTCGCCTTCCACGCTCGTGTATCTCTCCGCAGCGGACAAAGCGAGAAAAGAAATTCTCTGCCTGATGACGAAAGTCAACGGTTGATCGGCGAACGCATCAACGATATTTCGCACCTTTGTCCAATTCTCGCGGCGCTTCGCGCTCTTCTTTTTATCTCTCGGTTTTATTTTTGTCAGTGTAGAAAACTGTACTATGCTATATTATAATAATATTCATGTGGCAATTGTGGGCATGGAGATCCGCTGTTCTAATGAGCCGAAGATTCCAGTTCAAATGAACACCTCTCTAGAGTCCTTCGGAATTGGATTAATGTGCCCTCAAATTTCTCAAATTGATTCACATTCACTGTACGAAAATAATGTTGACAGTTAAGACATTTTTCGACGACTCGGAATGTATCTAAATCTTCTCCGAGTGATTCTATTTATTCAAACATTTAATAATGTCCCGCAAAAGGAGCAGAATAAATTTAATAATAGATTTCATATATTCAACGTATAGGGAACGCGACGCTCGAAAACTCAGACGATGCGAAACTCGAACACGATGCGATTGATTAATCACTTGTCCGTTTTTAATTCGACGATTTCTGAAACCCCTATAAGAAACAGGAGGATGGCATCGTGTAAAATCCTGATGTTTCTGTCACGAATAATTGGATTCTAATATATATTTATATCCTACAAGATGCCGAATTATTTCCATATAGAAGTTTTAATCACAGAATTTAAGAATAAGCGGCAAATTGATATTTAGTTATCTTTACACGAAAATTCGAGCTTCCCGTAGAGTGGATCTTTACTATTTGCATCTTATTCTGCTTTTAGAAGTTTCTCGAGGTACTGAAAATGAGTACATAGTTTCTCGTGCACGGAAAAAAATGTAGTTGCCGTAGTTAGAAACCGCGTGTGGTACCTAAATTTCAGTTGTAAAATATGCGCAGCTAATATTTGGTTGCAATAGCTAATATTTTGCTACTGTGCCTATTGCATTAGGGTGCGACAGCAAACCGTTCGCTGTGCTTTAGAAATTTATAATTACGGCAGCAAAATAATTTTAGCAAATCAAGATTAGCCACGGTAGCGAAACATTTTTTTTCAGCGTGTAACTGTTGCACATATGCGTTCTCTTCTCTTTCTGATAAAACAAAATTGAGTTTAATTAAATGCTTCTTAAGTAAAAACAAAACAATTCAGAAAACTCGGTCAGCACCGAGACAAAAAAAATTGCACCTCTAAACTTCCGCGTGATTATACATATACCTTTCATCCTCTCCCACCCCGCACAGACCTCTCGATCTCTCTATTCGCCATTGTTTTCGGGAGTATCAATGGACCGGGTGCACCTGGCTGACCACCAACGGAAGGCGGAGAGGTCAAAAAGGCGACCGCGTCGTCGGCGGCGGCGCGATAATCCGCGCGACAAACGCACACCCACACCCGCGCAACCGCCCGCCGTCATAGTTGTCTTCGTGAGCGTGCGGGAGGAGAACGGAAAGAGGGAAAGAAACGGAGGAGATAGAGACTTCTCTCCACCTGTTGCGCGAACGCGCGTATCCGCTTTGGACCGCCATGCCGACGCGGCGGCCAATCGCGGCCACCCATTGGCTGCGCCAAATGGTGGGGGCCGCGCCGCCGCGCCCGATTGGCCAGCTGCCTTATTTTACCCCACGTCCCACGGGAGCCGAGCCGCACCGGCGAAAGCTCCGTCCCGCGGGTTCGCCCCAGATGCTACGTGCTTCGTGAAGTTCCTGTGGGAATCCCCCGCGTTTCTGTCAGTGCACCAAAAGGACTCGCGTCCGTCAGATCAAGCCGTCGCTCGAAAAAAAAAATACACACAGAGGAGCACAGCAAGTATCCCGGAAGAATTGTTAAAGTACAGCTGTATCGTGACGACCGAGAGAAGACGACTCCCTCAGTTGACAGATTAGTTTAGTTTATCGTGAAATTGAATTCAAGGACAGAGAGCTGCACAATCCTTCACGCAGAAGAATCCAGTGATCAGCAACCGATTGCATGCTTTTTTCGGAGCTCAACGATTGGAAGACTCGAAATGTCACCCTGATATGATTGACCTAAGATGTCCATATTTTTGGAAACATTTCAACTTCTAAGGAATGCACGATTTTTTGGGGGGAAGCACTCATCACCCTCGGACGAAGATTCGCCGTTCAAAGATTTTGAGAACGCCGTCGCTCGCGAGCGCTGCAGAAGGATTTATTTGCTAATCGAAACATCCGGTCTTTCTGCGGGACACCATTAAATGTTTGATTAAGTAGATTCACTCGGAGAAAATTTAGATGTATCCCGAGTCGTCGAAAAATGTCTTAACTGTCAACGTTACTTTCGTGCAGTGAATGTGAATCAATTTGAAAAGTTTGAGAGCAGATTATCCAATTGATCGCGACCAGTCGAAGTTGTTTATCGCTTAAGGTTGACGATATATGCTCAACAATCTACCAAAGAAAGCTTCGAAAGGTCTTGTTTAAGGGTACAGTCGATTAACAAACCTTCACGGAGAGCCCTCAAACTCACTACCGAAGATAAATTATGTAGATACATAGAAATACCTGGGAAGATCATTGAAATTATTAGAATCTTCGGAAATACGCCCGTCAAGAGGATGTTAGGCGGAAAGTTATCTTATCCACTTGAGATAGGAATGATCTATCAATCTTTCAATCCATTAGAAATCTCGTCTATTCGCGAGGAAAGAAATTAGATTAAACATCGTGGCAGAAAGCGAACGACTCATGGAGATGTCGTCTAAGACCCTGCACAACGAGCACATTAAACGGCCGATGAATGCCTTTATGGTGTGGTCGCGTGGTCAGCGTCGCAAAATGGCACAGGAAAATCCGAAAATGCACAATTCGGAGATCTCGAAGAGGCTCGGCGCCGAGTGGAAGCTCCTGAGCGAGAGCGAGAAGCGTCCTTTCATTGACGAGGCAAAAAGATTGAGGTGAGCACACGGAATACACGTCAGGACACAATGAACATTCAGCACCTCCCTGCACGCATATTTTCGAACTCGAGGGCGAATTTAATTATTTTACACGGAAAAATTGACATTAATTACGCCTCTGGACCGAGCTTACTTCCAACTCGCTCCCGGTGACTATAACTTCCAAAGTTTAATTGATTTCGAAGCTCGTATTTCTCTGCTATATATAATCTTAGAAGCAATTAGTTTGTTGAAATTTTTATCTTACCAGCCATTTTTCTTTGTGGGCTTTTTAAAGAATGAAATTTGATATTTTCCTTTAACTGAATAATCTCTTGATAAACCATCGCGTTCTCACACATTATCTGTAAATCTTACAGATAATTCAATGTAGGACGACAAATGATTCAATAAATGAAGAACGGATGATAAAATTAATGAATTAAGGTAAATGGAAAAGTAGATATAAATGACGAAATATAGATTTTTTTCTTCATCTCTTTAAAAGTTTTGCAGTTTAATTCTGCGCAAAGAGATTCGCCAGAGATAATAGAGATAAATATGAGAATTTTGACAAGACAACATTTTGAAAATTACATTACGTGTGATATGAAACTTGTAATTAGACAATCTTATCGCCCGTTTCATGCAGGATTACGACCTGTGTGTACAAATTCTACGTTTTCAAACGTTAATCCTCAGACGGTTAAAACAGGTTTCACATATTACAGGTTAATACATATTTTTAGCTACGATTTAATAACGATATTTCAATGATACTGTCGGCGTACAGGTTCGTGAATATTTTTTGAAATACGAGATAACATTGTTTCACCTTCGCAATCACTTACATATCCCAGCAATGATTCGGTAACATCTCACTGACAGTGGTTTCATTTCTCAACAATGAGAGATAAGTCTGCCCAATAAATATTGATTTGTACGATTCCTCACGATATAAATATTTATTGTTACATATTGAACTTTTCCCCAGTTTGTAAAACTAAAACTGGAAGAGTGAAATACCCTCTACATCCTTTTCGACGGACAGGCGACTTCTTTTCCACCTAGCGGCGCTAATTACTCCTCAGTCGCGATAATACACTCCAGATGATTGCGTTGACCGGGGTGGGGTCCGTATCGGCAGAGACCGAGGGGATCGGAAACGGCGGGAAAGCGTGCCACGCGATCGTCTCGTACTTCATAATGCAGTACATTGTTGCCGGGAAGCTTAGGGGCTATGCTGCGCTTAAGCCCGGGTCGAAATAGGGTGAGACGTGGCCGGTATTTATAGGGCGGGCGAGAGATGAGCTCTTTATTACCGGCCCTGAATATTTAATCACTGTTATGAGTTTATTTAGCTCGCCGGAGCGGCTGCGCCGATTTTTCCAAGAGCCCCCTCCTCCTCCCCCCACCCCCTCGAAAAGAAGGTCCCGGCAATCTTGCGTGAGTCTACCTCTAGAGTCCTCGTAACGTCTTGTAATTTCGCGAGCCTTGCTCGTAAACGCAATCTCATCAGGGGGGATACCAGTATTAACTTTGTAATGATAATCAATGTGCTTAAGGAAAAAAAAGTGATCGTTTCACTACACGTTCGACAACGTTTTGATATAATGTGACTTTGATTGGTTCCTTAAGGGCGAGAGGTTTTGTAAAATTATGATAACAATTATATTTGTAAATTAGCCATTTCTCGACAAATAAAGCCTCGTAAGAATTGTATTCCTCTCGAGTCTTCTGCGGGGAATCATTTCGATATTTGTCGAGTAAGTATTTGCGTCCATTTATTATTTTATAATACGCTTTATAATCTTATATGAATGGGATTAATTATCATTATAAATCACGTTCAGCCGGCTGCTTTACTTATCCCACTTTATCCGGCGAATCATTCGAAACCGACTCGCGCTAAACCCTTCGATAATACGTGTCTTAATAGCACATTATACGAGTCTCAATAGCAACATCCGAAATAAAAATCGGGGTTAAGGGGAAACGGGCACGGGGAATAGATTCGCGCGCAAGGTGCGTGCAGATTAAATTTGGGAACGATCCCCGCGCTCCCGCTTTTCGATCTCGTCTCGGGAAACAAGATTTAAACTGATTCCACGCTCTAACCCCGTGCCCGCGTTGCAAAATATCCCGACCTCGATTTACATTCCACCCCGTCGGGGAAAAAAAGGGGGAGGAGATGGAAGAAAGCGAGGGAGCCGGGCGGGGCGCCCCGCTGAAATTTTCGGCGAAGTCGCAAGTACCGAAATCGGCGCGTCGTCCCGAATGGATCGCGGTCGCGTTTGCAACGCGGAAAATCCCCCCCACCCTCATGCCGATTGACGCAACGCCGCGTCGATAAACGATAATTAATGGCGACGGCAGCGACCGAACGCCGCGCAATTTGTCATATTTCGATCAATCGAAATTATTGAATTCACCTCATTTGCGGCCGGTACGCTTAACGCGTCACACTTTGCGGTATTTACTATATTTTACGCGTAATAGTGACACGTTTTATACCATGCGGTTATTATACGTTAGGGTTGTCAAATTTTCCATCGACTTCCGGACGGGCCGCGGCTCCCCCTTCCCCCCCCCTCCCCCCGCCTGGCCTGCTAACGATACGAAAGCGCGAAACAAAAGGCCATATTTTCCCATCGAAAATTTCTAAAAGAGAAAGAAAACGGGAAGAGGGGACCGCCGAGGGGGCGCGGAAGGGGTGAGAGGTACGGGCAATCCGAGGGAAATTTCGACGCGGACGTGTAACGGCGAATCCGCTTTTCTGGCGGATGGCAGCGACGTCGACGACGAGAGTAGGGTGGCGGCCGTAAAATAAAAGGGGCGGGCGGGCGGAAGGGGGAGGGTGAGGGGGAGGGGGTGGAAAACGGAAAGGGGACGCGCGAGGGAGGTGAAGTCGTTCCCTTGGAGCGGCGTCCTCGGGTAGGAGCGGGTTCCCTTGGACCCGCGCCGTCACTGGCCCGACGTAATCTGTCCGTTCGTTCACGGCGACTCACAATGTGGCCCCCGAGATAACAAATAAAGCCCCATTGTCGCAATTGTGTGGATTTAAAAGGATTTGCCCGGCTCCTCCGCACCCCCGCCGCTGCCACCGCCGTCCGCGCTCACGATCCTCCCTCTCTCGCTCTACGTCTCTCTCGCCCGCTCGTCTTCCCTATCCCCTCTCCCAGTTCCTCCCGTTCCCCGTTCCACACGTACCACTTCAACCCCCTATGTGTTCCGCAGCCTCTTTCCGATTTCTCGCCTCTCTCGTTGCGGCGAAACGCTGCCTTTTGCGCGCTTTGATGCCGCATATGAACGTCCCTGTGACATCGTGGCGAGAAATCTGTTAACATGATTAAGCCGCGGACAATCCTCGGTTCGGTTAATCGGGCGGATTCTGTATTAACTACGTGCGCGCGCGAGATACGGGAGCATCGGGAAGAATTGCTTGCTGCGGTTCGGCTTCGATTAAATTAGTAACAGGAGGCGATTCTACCCCGCGATTGCTCCTTGGATTTGTTGTTGAAATTTATCGAAAAATTTGAAGATGGTTCGAGCGTCGTATACAAGCAACCCAGAATGCAATGCATATCTAAAAGACGACTTAATACCATCTTAAAGATGTCTTTTAGACATGCATGCTATCTGGGAGCTCATTATAGAAATGTAGACCCAACGAGTGACAAGTGAGCCATAGTGTAACTAGTATGCCCACTCTCTGTCGGTCCTTCTAGATTTTCGGTTTCGATCACGTGGTATTCCGCCATTATGTTGGTGTAAAACCCTTTCACACTGTCACACTACCACGTATACGACATCCGTCTCATTGGCTCCACCAAAATAATGGCGGATGCGCAGAAAGGATCGACGCACAATAAAACAATTGACAGAGTCGGCATATTAGTTACACTAATATTGTACTATGAGTGAGCCGCTCATAGACATAATATATCTAAACCGAGCGTTTGTCTTCATTTGAGCGGTGGGTGTAGAGGTTCACGTAGAAAAGGACAAACTCTGTTTTGTGCTATTTCGTCCTCTCGTTTGCATGTGAATAAGAGAGGACGAAATAGCACAAGACAGAGCTTGCCCTTTTCTGCGTGAACTTCTACCCTCACTGCTCAATGCTCGGTCTAGATACGAGTATATTATGTGTATGGAGCCGCTCTTCTCGATCGTGGAGAAAATAAAAATTAGAGCGAGAGGACGGTCCGAACGATCACTAAAGCTCCTCCGAAATAAACGCGCCGCGACGGCGGCGCGAGATCGTCCGCGCTTCCGGTCGCGCGGTCACAATCGTAACTAATTGTTATTGTTCCTTGTCGCGACGCGGCGGGTGAGCGCGTAGCTTATGTCGCCGCGGGATGATACAGCGCGTTGTTTATCGGCCGCCAGATAGTGGCAACGCGGAGGGAGGGGGTGGAAAGCGCGAGAGCGCCGGCGGGGGGGAGGGAACGCGCGGAGGTTGGAATTGTAAAGATTACGGCCGATGTTTATGCATTTATGCTGAGTTATTGTCGGCGCGGCTTTACCGATGTTTATGCTGATTTACGCTTTGTGCTATCTGCCGGGACACATTGTCCCCGGAATTATTATTCCGCGGTCGCGGCGGCGTTCCGCCATCCGCGCCCCGCGCGCCTCCCTCCCCCTCCTACCGCACCCCGCTCTCCCCGGCCTCCTTCTCTCTTTCCAGCTACCCCTTGAAATTTCGAATTTCGTCACACGGTGAGCTCTCGCATCTCGTAGAAAACGATCGGCGCACCGCGGAAATTCCGGTGCTACTTGCTTTCATCCCTGCGACAAAATGACCGAGGATTCAACGCGAACTGCCGGTCGCGAGGAGGAGGAGAGCTAATTTTCCAAGCGGAAACGTCTCGCGTCGTACACCGTGTCGATTCGGGATCCGCGTTCATATTTTTGCAGAAAGAAACACGCGGACAGCTCGCGCGGTTACCGCGGCTTAAGGGCCAATGATAATACAGCGGCGACTGGTAAAACGACTTTGCTTTCGCTAAATACATTGTTATTACGACGGCGCAAAGTAAATGCGCCGCGTTATCGTCCTCGCGCCTCCGACCGCATTGTCCTGATGGTTTCCGGCGAAATTCTTCGCGACGACCGCCGTTACCAAAAAGTCCCACGTATCTCCAAACCTACCCCCCCCCTCCCTCTCTCTCTCTCGACCCTCGTCTTTTCTTTTTTTTTTTATCTCCACGAGGCGAGGCATAAATAAGCTCTGCGTTTGTGCGCCTCTTGGGTACATAATGGAGTATTATATGTCGCAGATACCGCTGTTCCTCTTTCCCCCTCTGCCCCTCGTGCCGAAGGGAGGGTGTGTGTACAAGATACTTACTGCAAATACCTATGGTGCCCCGTATCGTGTTCTGGAACGGTGATAATACGTCCCATTGTACGCGGGAAGGCGAGAGCCCAGTTTATAAAAATTGCCGAGAGGTGTTACCGTCCGCGATAATCGATAGTCGTGCTGTAACATAAAAACGATAACAAGGAAGACACATACACGGGGCGTTCCGAGAAAGGGCGCGCGATCAGCTCCGTTTCTTGGGGTATTCGTAATTTTCTGCTCCGGTTCGAAGGAAGAAAAACATATTTTTTACTCCTGTGGCGATCGGATTTCGAAAGAGTCAAGAGAGTTTATTGTTCGAGCTTGATTAAATGGTAACATGATACACTTGTACAGTTATTGGCGAGAGTTCTTGGGAAATTATCTCGAAATTATTGGAAATCGTAGAAATCGTACATAAAAAAAATTCTTGCTCGTGTATTAGGCTTAAAGCCTGTTTTATCCAGTTCGTTCTGGTATTTTGAGCATTTGGTTTTACTTCATCTTCGGTAGGCTGCCAACCCTTGCCGAAGGAAACCTCCCATCTGGAATGACTATACTCCTAAAGGGGTATGTGTGGCAAGATACTCTCGGTGGTTGCCACTTCCCTTCGGGAGATTCCGACAGAAACCAGCGCGGTGTCCGTGAATTTCAACTCGGATCTTTTCGTTCATTTGTTTACTAAGCGGCGCACATTTCTCTGCGCCACATAGAAAAAAAATGCAATCTCATTAAATCATTTACAGCCCTCGCTTAACGACTCTTGCCATCGCGGGATGGTCACGGAATTATGTTGTATACCCATCGCAGGCTAAACTATCGCGTTCGCAGTTGCGAAACTATTCAATTAAGCCGTTCCCTTCCCCTGAAATACGCGTGGAACCCTTCTCGGCTGTTCCTTCCCCTTTACTTCACCGACGTTATAACGACATCGGATTCAGCAGCGTATTTACGATAACGACGAGCTTCAACGAATCCGCGTCGAGTGAGAAAATTGGGCAGAACGAAGTTAAAAAGAAATTAATAATAAGAACGTAAGATAGAATGTTTTCTCTCTTCTTTAAGAAGAGGACAATCTATCTTGCAAATGCGAAAGCGATTTTTTTACGTGTTCTTTAAGAACTATTATGGACTTCGAACTTTTACATAGACTTGTGGATATTTTGAAAATATGTCTTTTCTCCAGGACATAAAATTAGTTATTTCCGTATTATTGTACTGTACGTATTTTGTGGAGAAATTATACTTGGGCCGTACCTATTCGCATTTACCAACATGAAATAGAAAGACACTTGCTTGAACAAGACGTTTTTATAACTGGACTAGATCAATTGGACCAAAGGCTTCATTCTTACATCACAATTGATTCGAATACGCTGATGAAGACCAAGTACAGTCGAAACGTTCGTTCTATATATTCGTTTAATCTTATGCATAATAACTTTGTTTTAATTTATTATTTTAAATATAATGATGTAGTTTCTATTTAATTTTTGTACATTCCAAAATTGATGTAAAGTTTCTTTAGTCGTCCGGTTGAATAACTATTAAGTTTAACCTTTTAGAGCTCGTTCTATTATTGGCCTTTTCCTTTATAATTTTAAAAAAGCCTGCTTAGTTACTTATTTAAATAAATAATAATTGACTCGTTTACAGAAAAATTATAGAAAATCAAAAGACAGCCAGTATCCACAGGTGCTAATGTATGATAATACAAATACACATTTTATGCGCTCTTAATCCTTTCCAGTGCAACTCTTTGTGCACTTCAATCGAAACTATTTATCAGCCTTTACTAAGATCCTCCTCGATCAATGAATCAAGAATGGATTACATATTAGCCTTGATTTGCCATTGTATGACGTTTATTATCTGTTTCATCCGTAAAAAAAACTTTAGCCCGTGATTCAATTGCCATGCTTATCATTTTCATACTGTTTGAAATCAGTCCGTACACAATTACACAGACACACCAATGCAGCAACAATACGCGAAAGAAATTCGGATCTCACAGTGCAATGTTACAAATTACCGTCCACCTTTCAGAGCTCTTCACATGAAAGAGCACCCCGACTACAAGTACCGGCCGCGTCGGAAACCGAAGTCCCTGGTCAAAAAGGAGAACAAGTTCGGCTTCTCGATATCACCGCTGATGTCGCCTGGCGACAGCTTGACCAGTCTACCGCGGGGTCTTCTGCCGTCGTTGACGCCTCCGACGCATCATCCATTGATGTCGCACGAGGACCTGAAGATCCCGCGCTTCTTTCCGCCGTTCGCATATCCGCTCTATCCGCTGCAGCACAAGCTGAACGACGACTTCAACGGCGGCAAGCTTGCCGCCGACTTGGCCCTACAGGCACTTTACTCCGGCAGCCCCTTTTACCCGAGCCACCAAGCGATGTCTTGGCCGAGCCTGTCGGCAGCCGCCTGTCTGCAGCCCAACTGCAGCTGCCCGAGTCCATCGAAGGAGCCCAAGAGACCGATCCCGTCGTCCAAGATGGACGACCCGCCCTTTCCGAGCCCGGCGAGGGCCGACGACGACGCCGTTGTCGCGGAGCGGGAAGAATCCCGATACCGGAAGCTCGAAGTGGACTTCTCGAGCAGTCTGGAGAGCCATCATCAGCATCATCCCCATCAGCAGCATCATCATCAGGAGGACCGTTCCCAGGATCGCTTCTCCTCTTCCTCATCCTCGTCGCCGCCCACGGAACAATTGGAGAGATCGACGACGACGACGACAACGACGACGTCGTCCTCGTCGTCTTCGACATCGAGCGGCAGGGTCGACAGCGCTTTCTCCGTTCAAAGTCTCACGTCGACCTCCAGCAGCTCGAACTCGGGCTCGCAGCGCGGACACGTCATATGAAGGCCGCTCCCGGTTCTCCCGGACCTGAACTTCCGGGGGAGCCTGATGCCGGCCGCGTGGCCGACTGCCGATTGGTGGCGGGTGGCCCCGATGCTCTCGCCGATCCCTCAAACGGCAGTCGTGAACCTGAGCACCGGTGTCGTCAAGGAAGACGCCGTCCATTTCCCAGACGAGCAACAGAGGAACTCGACAGCCGTGTCCAGGTCGCCGAGGAACGGCGTGCACATCGCCAATGTGCAGTGATCCAATCGTAACGATCGCCGAGAGTCCTACTCCCTGGCTGAGTATCTCGGTGTCCCGCGACCGGAAGTGAGCCAGTGCTATCGAGTAACTTGGACAAACTAACGAGGACTCGTTTTGTAGTTTGGAGATCTCTTTCGGAGCGCAACGTAATCCCGCGGCTAGCGAGGAAAAAAAAAAGCGGGGCGCACGGGCGAAGTGCCCGCCCGCAAAATTATCGGAATCGCGGAGTAGGCCGTATCGGAGAAATAGCCCCGCGACCGCAGCCGGAGCTGGCGAACAGAAACAGAAATCGATAACTCGGCTATGCGGTCCCGAAATCCCACAAAGGGCGGGCGCAAAGGGTCCTCTCGACCGGATCGTGCACGCGAAGCTGGATGCTAGAGGAGTCCAATTCTGATGAGATAACCAACCCTCTCACATGCCATATATTAGGGGGCGGGCGGGCGGGCGCGGGCGCGGGCGCGCACGGGGGTGGACACGGTGGGGAAGGGAGGAAAAAAAGCTCTTCTGGCGGAGGCAAATCTCTTCTTTGGGACGCGGCCGTGCGAAATAAGCCTGAAACGTTCTGAATGCTAACGTAGAGACGCGTACGAACCCCGACGACGCGGTTTCGCTGTATCCCGCGGCGTCGCGCCGCGCCGCTTTCGCGACGAAAGTATCGATACGGCGAAACGGAAGACGCGTGGCTGGCTCTGCGAACTCTAGTCGACGCGGATCCCTTTCTAATATTACGGGAAAGCCAGGAAGACATGTTCGAAGGGTTGTCAGATTCATTCTATCTCGCTAAAGGTTCGTTTCGTCAGTGTTGTCTGTAGCCCGAGTAACGAACTAGGTTCACAATTTTTCTCTGACTACTTCGCGGAACATATTTTGCAACGTTGTACTCTCTACGTGATTCATTAATATTTTGACAATTTCATTTATTGGCCAATGAAGAAAGTTGCTGGACGACGCTCGACTGGCGAATTCTAATTGAAGAAATTTATTGCGAAAAGTATTACCTCAGCCAGGGTGAGGTAATATTTTTCGCAATACATTTCTTCAATTAGAATTTGCCAGCCAAGCGTCGTCCAGCAATTTTCTTCATTGGTTAATCATGTACTGGCGTCAAATAATACTTTACGTTAATTTATTGAGATTAAGAGGCCTACTCGCCCTCGCCGTTCGGCGAGGAAATATAATTAATGAATTGAATGAAAGGTACATTTTAATCGTTGAAACGTATTTATTGATGTACCGCATAATTTTACATTTAAAAAAATAGAAAATGAAGACTAAAATGAAGACTAAACTTTTTGCATCGTCCGTAAAACGTCTACGAACCTCTCAATTTTGGCTTTACAAGTACTCGATCTGAGACACAAAATTCAAATATTCTTGTACGTACATATATGTACTATTTGTCAAGTTTTCCATTCCATTCGTTATCAACATCCTCTTCACCGAACCGTCAGGACGGATAAGCCCCTTAGGCCCGGTTTTCCGTTTTCTGGCTAATTGGTTAATCGGAGGCTAGTCGATTCCCTGTCTCTCCTTAGATAATAACATAGAAAAAGAGTAGACTAACTTCTGGTTAACAGTTAACCAGAGAATGAAAACCCGGGCCTTGACTTCTAACCAGACGCGCGCGATGTGTTTTGTACGATTTTGTTTTTGTTACATGTGTAATGTTTATTGTTGACCTGTTAAGGCGAGTTGTAACATTATTGCTCGTTCGTCGAGATCCGCCGATCTTCTCTCCTCCTTGTAGAAATTCCCCCTAAGTATTTCTAACGACCGTAGCGAGCACTAATGCGAGTTCATTAGCGTGTACCCTAACGGGAGTAAGGTGCAAGTAAACATAAAACGTATCTAACGCATAGAAAAAGCATATCTCCTTTCATTTCTCCTCCCACCCCCTCTCTCTCTCTCTCTCTCTCTCTCTCTCTCTCTCTCTCTCTCTCTCTCTGTCACTTTCTCTCTCTCTTTCTCAATAATCACGCGACGCATTTCGCGGACGCATAGCGACGCTTCGATTAACTCGATTAATTCGGAACAAGAATAACGCGGATGCGCCACGTTAAACCCCGCCTCGACGATTACGATACTATTGTTAATTACTTCTGTAATATAATGCAACGCGTTTGTAAATAAATCTCGATCCGAATTAAGAAATATTGTCCCCACCTCACCCCTCGAACTCCTCCCTTTTTCTTATTAAGTTTACCCTTTCGTGGAACGCCTTCCAACCGTTAGATTACATCAGCGTGATGTTTCGAAAAATTCCGCGAAATTCGTGTGCTCAATCGTGATTAAACACCGAATCCAACACTAAGCGCTTGAGCTCCTTCAAGCGTTGAATTTTTGAAATTTCTCTTAGCGGTGAAATACGCGGAGGCAGCTGTTCCACAAAAGCTGCAAGTCGATTGACCACACATTTCTCGAAGCCAGAACTCGAATCAAGTTCCAGCATCAGTGGACACGGGCTTTTATAGGTTTTCTTTTTAAGTTTCGACGTACATTTGAGTACAAGATAGATATTCGCAGTCATTTTTGGTACGCTCGCGTCCTTATCAAACGTCAAATATTAGCGAACAGCCTAAAAGTCTACGTCTGAAAGTCTCGGCTTATCGCGAAGCTAATATCGCGCGAGTGAGCGCGCGCGCGCGCGCTTTGCACCACCCTCGTAGTTTTCCGAGGAAAGCCGCGAAATTAATCGGTAAGGAGGGGGAGGGGGAGTGACGACGGGGAAAATCTCGAGGGCAATGTGAAGTTTCCTCCGTGCCCCCGTCGCCCCGCTCCCCCGCGCCCCGCCGGGCCTACGGGGCGGCTCGTCGTGTTTTATTTCTGATAGCGACGCCTCCGTCGCCGCCACGGGGACATTATCGCCACCGCGAAGGACCCTTTCTTCCCCCATAAAGGCAATCATGCTTTCTCCGCGGTGAGATAACGGCGAGAATGGCGGCCGGGAGACGTTTCCACGCCGTGGCGGCACGTTCCCACCCCGCGCCCGCGACAATCAGTAGAATTCTTCGCCGCGCGATCGATTTCGCGAGAAACCGAGACGCAACGCAGGTCGATTCGCGTGTAGATTCTTAAAGCAACTTACGATAAAAGCTACCCATGTAATCGTTTTGCCTTCATTTTCAAGTTTCCTCACTTATTAGACAATGAACATTAAATTTGAAAGTTTTCTCAACCTGTTCTCATTTTCCTCCAAAAAGTGGGAAGCAAGGAAACACGTTTTCCACCTAACTGAATATTGAATTGAAATTACTTTTATAGGCAAATACTTATTAGTAAAATAAAAAAGGTACAATGTTTTGAGGAAATATAACAGCTCTTAACAATGTCGGCTATTTTTAAACGTGCATATAAGAAAGTTATTTGCAATTAGATGAAATTATTTGTAATCAGATGAAATCGTATGAAATCTAATGAAATCATGTAATCGGTGGGACAACATTTTAGCTAGTGGTTACCCCCTTGTTCCCTACACTCTAGGCGGGCGTCTCACCACATGCCAGTGGCCGAATCCGCCTAGAGTCTATGCAGGTCCAGGTTCAAACCCTAGCTGAGGTATATTTTTCGCAATAAATTCCTTTAATCAGAACTTGCCAGTCGCCTAACAATTTTTCTACATTGGTTAATCATGGCGTCACTGGCGTCAAATAATTCTCTACGTTATAAGTGCGTTTATCCATTAATTATTTTGTATTTAATCGAATAACATAGAACATTTTCTCTGAGTGTCCACCCAAGGTCTATATCGCAACCCTATTCGGAATCCACTCTAGTCCCGTTTAGGATGGAACATCGCTCGCGGATGGCGAGTTCCCATGCGCTTAACGCCATGCGAATAACGCCCATCGGATTGCTCGAAGACGACGACGACGACGACGACGGGGGGCTGGTAAGTTTTACGGGTGGCGTACAAAGACGTGGAAAGAGGACGCGCGAGTGGGAGGGCGACAACGACTATCCTCTGACCAAGGGAAGTCTACGCGCCACTCCATTAGTATGCGCGGAAGTGCGCCGCGCTCGATTGTGGCGGGTATTGTCACGGAAGAATGTCCTCGTTGCGCGGAGCTTCGCGGCTCCGGACGGCGCTCCCTCCCGGTAAGGAGACGAAGGCGGGTGGGATCCGAGTGAAATGTAATCACTCTCCGAGAGAGTGAGCGTAGCGCGGGTGAGATCCCCGGGCGCGTTCATCCGGCGCGGCGAGGAGGACGAGCGACAATGCCGCGTGTCGATAGACGCGACATTGTCTTCTTGTTTTCAGCGAATTTCCCGACTGCTCGACTACTGTCGTCGTCGCGTCGCCCGCAATTGAATCTTGCGTCAACGTCGCCGGGGCACGCGAGAAACTTGTTTCATCTCGCCGGAATTAGCCCCCGGGGGCGCAATCCACTAATCTTCGCCGAAACGGGGTGCCCGGAGAAGGGTGGGAGGGTAGGGGGACGCGAATCAGATTTAAATGATCCTTTGGCCGCGGTACCTGAAATTATCCACGGAGATAAGGCGGGCCGGTGTAAAATCTGTCTCGCCGTTTTGCCGAAATTAGCCGGGGACACAGGGATCTCTTTGGGATTCCCGCGCCCCACGTTCACCGTCCTCGGCGGGGGATGGGACGGACGTTTTAATTGCGTCGCTCGTCCGCGCCCGGCGATATCAGCGGCGCTTTTATGCGCGACGTAGAGAGGAGGCGCGATCGTTTGATTGCGGAAAATGACGGGCGGCGGTGGGCGCGAGTGGAAGTTTTGAGTGGGCGTCGGTCCCGGCAGACAATGAGGCATTCAGGCGCGG